TTTTCCACGAACTTAACGAAGCTCCATTTACACCTGGAGACAGGTGGATGGCCAATTGGAAAACGGTGATGTAAGATCTATCCAATTGACAAGGAGTCGATCGCAAAAATCCTATAAAAACGCAAAATTCAAGGACAGCGGGACTATTTTTACTTGATTTCTACTTCCACCAAGACTTCCACCTATACTTCTGTTGTATTCGTGTATCTTCATCTTTCGTGCATCGACTTTCGAGACATCGAACTTTTTTTTTCCTCAACACTGTCCAGGGGCCCCTACAACGACGCACCGGATCATCGCCGAAATTCTCAAAAAAGCAAGACTAGGACCTTTGCCAACAAAAATTATGTAAGCATTATCGTTCGGAATAAACGGTTTACCTTTGTAAACACTTGTCTTTGCTGCCTTTAAAAACCGCCACCCACATACGCTAAGACCTTAGACCATCCCGACGGTAGGGAATAAAAATCTCCCCCCCAATCGGCATTCATACACTGATATCTCCATTTCTAGTGTCCTGAAAGTCATTTAATTAGAATACAATTATTTAAAATAGCTACAAAACATGAAAAAATTGCTCCTTTATATGAAAACAATGATCCATCTCCATCATTTATTTAATTCGTAATTCATTTTTTATTTTCAAGATAAACTCTAAGATAAAAATGGAAATTAATCTTAGAATCAAAGAAAATAGTTTCAACTTTCCTATATAAAATCTCTTGAATAGGTGTGTGCATATAGGATGGCCAAAAGTCAGTCAAACAAAATATATTTTAAGATTACCTTAAGAATTTAAAACTGCTTTGGAATATATATATATATATCAGTCGACCCCCCTATAACACTGTTGATAATTCCATTTTATATGAATTCCATGTTGTACAAGTCACTTATATTTTACAAATACGCGTGCCGGGCTGTGAATGGCTCACGTATTTGTAAAATATAAGTGACTCGTACCACATGGAATTCATATATAAAGGAATTATCAACAGTGTTATAGGGGGGTCGACTGTATCTCATAGCCCGAAGTTATTAATCAAAGTCAAATAATCCCCATAATAAATTGGGCTGTTTTTCCACTACTATTAATAATTAAATTTAAGTAATTTGGAATTTTGTTATTCATGATTTACTCCCTTCCGGTGATGAGACAATCAGTGAATGACAACATGCAGCTGTTCGGCACAATCTCTAAATGTTCCCTAAGCCTTATTGCCTCAACAGAAAGCATTTGCCTCCCTGGTTTCTCGTCTATTAATACCATTTATATTCCTGGTTTCTCTGTCAGGTTTCATATTTCTTTCTTATTCCTATGGTAATCAAAATGAGTGGGTTTTCTCTTAAGCATTATCTTTTTTCTCATTGACTTTTCTAAAACTTTGTAAAATATTAAGCTTCGTGATTCCACATAATATAGAGAGATTTTAAACATTGCAGAAACTGGATAACAACAACATTAAAGAAAGAAAAACATATAAATAAAATATTTAATGATAAACAAATGTTTTTGATAACTTTAGCTATCGTCATCATCAGATTAAATACATTTGGAATAAAAACTCAAGTGAATCAAATGTCGTAATTTAAAAGAAGTCATCATCTGGTTGTTGATGTATAAATAAATTTAACTCCATTTCTATTTTAAAAAATCCAGCGAGTTGCTTAACTTTTCCAGCAATATTTAAAACTGGAGTGGCATCATCTGTTATGATATTTTATTTTAAAAACTTTTTATATTTTTAATTAATATAAAATGACAAAAAGCTTACTTTTGAAGGTAGGGATGGATTTTATAAAAAATTGTAAATGTTAATAATAAGTAAAATTGCCATTAAGTCCAACTCTATTTGAGATATGACACACAACCCTCGACCCCCTTCTAACTCCCCCTCAACCTTGAACCACCAAAATTTAATAGTATCAATCCCCCAATACACAAACCTCCTTGCAAAATTTCAGAAATTTCCGGCAAACAGTACAGGAGTTATTAAGCTTCAAACAGAGTGAACAAAATTGTGCTCCCCACATACATGCTCACCATCATTCATAAATACAGAAAAAAAAAATTTCCAAAATTTTTTCGAATCTCTCTACATTTCAAGGTCCTCTGTATCAAAAATCTTGGGGGAGCATTTTTTGACTGATTACCATACTTTCCCTCTGTTATATATAAAAGAGTTGGGAAAAGTAATTAAAAACATGTAAATTATATTATAATCTTCTAAATTAATTATTGCATTTATAAAAGAATGACTATTTTGCTAAACCAATTTGAATTGATTCACGACCGCATCAACACCGAATTCAAAACTAATTACTTTGGAAATAAAAATGACTCAAAAGACAATTCTGGTTCAACACCCGTACAAAATAAAAAGTTTAATTAAAAAATAGTCAATTTATTCAAAGACAAACATCACATAAATAAAGATTAAAAGCTAAAAATGATTAAAAGATTTCTCTTATTTAAATAAAATAGTGGAATTTAAAACAGTTTTTGTAATATACAAGTAACGTTATATATTAAAAAAATTCTTGCCGAATTGTCAAATTAGCTAATTAGATCCAAATAAAAAAATAAGTTAGATTATCTACTACTAATAAAAATGCAATAAAACATTGTTATCAAGTAATAGTAAATAAAAAAACACTTTACTTTGCTATCTAATGTAATTTAGATTTATTTGAAGCTTCAAAGTACAAAATATTTGTGTCGTTAACATACCATATAACTCATCTTTTGATTATTTTAATCATATTTATCCTCATTTACAAATTGAGAGAAAGTGCTAGAGATTACAAAAGAACTTGAAGTACTTAGGAAAGAATTGAGTGAAGGACTAGACTGAAACTTTGTTAGAAAAGCAGAATTAATGTAAAATACAGTCGTTTCAAAGATTAGGAAATATGCAGGAACTATTTTAAGTATCACAAAAATAGGAGAATAGAATAGATGAGAAAATACAGTGGTGGAACAAAGGAGTCCAGAAACAATTTGATAGTTACAGAGAAATAAAATTAATAAGTCATACAATGAAGTCATGAAAAAGAATCTTAGATAATAAAATTAGGAATAGAACTAGTATAAGTAGGAATCAGTTTGGATTTATACCAGATAGATCAATGATGGAATCAATTGTTGTAGTTAGGCAGATAATAGAAAAATATTGAGATGCTGAGAAAAAATTGAACATGGTATTCATAGATTTAGAAAAAGCTTATGATAGAGTCTCTACAAGTCTTATATGAGTTGCTTAGGAAGAAGAGAATAGGAGAGGAATATGTAAGTGTCTCTAACCTCTTCAGAAACAAGTTAAAATAGAATGTGGAGATGTAAGAAGCTTTAGGATAGAAGAAGGTATCTATCAAGGTTCAGTATTAAGACCATATCTTTTTATCTTAGTGATAGATGAACTGTTAGGGGAGGTATAGAACCATAGTGCGTGTTATCTGTAGATGCTGGTAGAGGAGATAGTAAAGATTAGAGGGTGACAGATTAGAGATTAGCAGAAAGAAAGCAGAGTTCATACATTTTGACTTTAGTGATAAGAGAAAATGCAGATTAGTTATTTGAAACATGGAAATAAAGAATTGAGAAATTTAAGTAATTAGAATTAATGTTATAGAGTAGAAAGTTAGACACAAATATAGTAAATAGAATCAGTATAAGGTGTATAGCAGAATACAAGTGGAGTACTTTATGACAGAAGAGGTACAGTTAAATTAGAAGAAAAGTTTTATAAGACAGTTATTAAGAGTGAAATGTTTATGGATCTAAATGTTAGGGAATGAAGAAATCACAAGCAAAAAGATGCAGGTAGCAGAAATGAGTGCACTTAGGTTTTGTGCACAGAATTAGGAATTAGCATATAAGTTATGGAAGATTAAATTTAATAATTAAAAAGATTACGGAAAATTTAATTTAATTTTAGAACATTCTGGAGGAAAAGATCAGCCTGGGAAAGGACTTGAACCTGCAACACCTGTGCAGACATGTTGCCAGTTATGCTACTCAGACCTCTGGGTATTGTAACAGAATATTCTAAAATTAAATTAAATTGATAAATTTAGTTATAATTATTAACAATAGATGGCTGACTAACCACCTATCACCTGCCAAAATAATTGTTTAGCTTAATAGCCCAATAAAGAAATCTGGCTTAAAAATTTGCTTGGTATTTAAAGTAATTATTGGGTTAGTTTGTACTTATTAGATGGGTTGAACATTTAGTTAGAAGAGAAGAGGATAAATTAGATAAATTAGAGAATTAGGAAGTAAAAGAAATAGAGATTTGCTTAGTTAGTTGGTTACAATGTGATCTGCTTAGGGCAGGGTCACCAAACTACAGCCTGCAAGGTCAGTTTTATCCAGCCCATCATCACACTGTGCCACAAATGAGCCAAAATATAATTATTTATATGGAAATATCATAGATTGTAGATAAACTTATTATGTAGAAAAAATTAAAATAAGTAAGTAAAAATGTCAAAATTGGTTCAATCTGATTTTTGCATTTGACAGTAATATAATTTTTAGGAAAATCAGTGAAATGATAAATTCACAGACTTTTTACAACTTTGGATATCAGAGTGCTTTTTGTGTAAGTACTGGCAATGAAGTTTCTAAGACAAGCAATTACGAGCTTGCTGCAGAGGTTGTGTTTGTGTATTGGTAAATAAATATATTTGTTTTCTTTATTTTTTGTGTATTCAGTATACTATATTGAACAAAATGGTTATGAGGCCCACACTTGTCATTCTTTCAGTTATCTGGTCCTCAGTGAAAAAAGTTTGGTGACCTCTGGTTTAGGAGGATGCCTGCTGGGAGGATTTTTATGGGAAAGTAGCTCCTATTTAGTTATTATAAACATGAAGAAAACATGGAAAACTACAACCTGTTAGTAAAGAGCAAACCCACAACAAACTATCAATGTTCAGTGGTTTTATCCACCAGGAAACTGAATACAGATGACCAAAGTTAAGAGAATTAGCAGGTAAGAGATTTAAAGGGGCAGGGATTGCACTAAATAGCACCAAAACTGCCACTTGGTGATAATTTATTGAAGTGGCAATAGAAATATAATACTGGCAATAAAAACTAGTCTGCTTATTTTGACATTTAGTGCGAAATTGAATCATAAAGCGCACTTCAGGAAAAACAGCAGAATGTCAAGCTCCTGTGAGATGGGAGTCCTGTGCACCTAGCCATGTCATGACATCATGTGGCAAGTTCAGACTTGAAAGCAGGAAAATAATGTTAAGAACCAAAAGCAGTTTTCATGTAATGTTACCTAGCATTTCCGGATTGGAGATTTTTTTGGGGCAACATTTTTTTCACTTTGATCTTTGTTCAGTAAACAAAAATTTTGACATGACAGAACATGTAAAATACTGTTTAAGCATTATGATCAGATGTGTTATTCAGTATTATTCATTAAAAAATTATTCCTATTTCTATGTGGCAGCTTAACATGTTATTTTTGCTTTCCAGACTCCAAACTGATAAGGCTACCAGCACCTGCATTAGTAAGTAAAACTGTTGCAATAAGTAATTTGAAGTGACAAAAAAAATTTGAACTGGCAAAATGGTTGGCAGTTATTTTAATTTTTCAGAGTGATTCCTGATGAAGTTACTGTTATGTTTATTGTCTCGAGGTTACAACCAAAGTGAGCGCTCAGGTACCGTTCCCGTGATGCATCAGCAACGATTGCCACCTGGCGGACTCACTAATATTTTACATTTTAACATTTTAATACAATACATATTACATCTCCCTTTCTTACACAAAGTCTTTGAAACGCGATGGCCTACGGATCACCCGGCCTGATCGAGTTGTCAAGTCTGTAGCCTCATTGCCGCTCACCTCCTGATTTTCCAACTGCTCATTCTCTGTGTCCTTTTCCTCACTACCACTATCCATGTTTTCTCCTTGTTCACTGGCCTGTTCTTCCTCACTTGGTTGATCCAACAATTCGCCTGAATGATTCTGTATGTTTCTAAATCTATTCACATCGAACTTCCTTAAAAATCTTCGGTTACGAATGAAGTATTTACTGTCTTTGTCTATGCGCACAATATAAGATCTTGGTCGATATCTGTCTATTTCTATTATTTCACCAGGCTCCCAGTTTCTTTTATCAATTTGGATCATCACTCGGTCATGTGGATTCAATGCTGTTAGGTCTCTAGCATTTCTGTCGAAATAGTGTTTCTGTATTTGTTGTCTTTGCAAATGGTTTTTTCTAAATTTGTCTACAACTATTCTGGGTTTCAAGAGATTATTCCTTGTGGGCACTTGCCCTCGCAACCTACGACCATAAAGAAGTTGTGCTGGGGATGGAATACCTCGACCTAAAGGTGTATTTCTGTATTCCAACAAGGTCAGATAAATGTCCTTTGAGTCATAGACTGCTTTCTTAAGTAATTTTTTGNTCGACTTTATCTGGATCAATTCTAATACCATCTTCTGACAAGATGTGTCCCACATATTTGACTTCCTTTAGTTTAAATTTGCACTTATCCTTATTGAACCTAATCCCCTTTTCTTCAGCTGTCTTCAGAACCAATTCTAAGATTCTATCATGTTCTTCTGAGTCCTTTGCATGAATGATAAGATCATCAATGTAAATCTTGACTCCTTCGATATGAGCAAAAATTTCTGTAAACGTTTTGCGAAAGATCTCAGGAGCATTAGTCAATCCAAAGGGTAGTCGCAGAAATCTATATCTCCCAAAAGGTGTACTAAAGGTTGTTAATTTTGATGAGCTATCTGCCAGTTCAATCTGCCAAAATCCCTTGTTTGCATCTAGGATAGAGAAAAATTTGGAACCTGCCATATCCCTTGTGATTTCCTCAAAGGTCGGTATTTCAAAATGTTCTCTCATTATCGAGTGATTCAAATTCTGTGGATCTAAACATATTCTCAGGGATCCATCAGATTTGCGAACTAGGACAATTGGGTTTACAAACTCTGTCGGTTCATCTATGCTGCATATAATTCCATCATTTATCATTCTCGTTAATTCTTTCTTTAATGGATTCATTAAGTTAAATGGTACTCGACGTGTAGGAACTACCACAGCCTTGTAGTCATCCTTTAATTTAAATTCACAGGGTTTTATTTTGATCCTGCCTATGCCTTCAAATACATTCCTATATTTAGTAAAATAATCACTTTCCATTTTTATTTCTAAGATATTTCGATTTCTCTGTAGTAAATTTAGTTTTTGAATAGTCCTAAAATAGGTGCTGCTTGGTCAGTTGTCTTGACTATTATAAAATTCAAAGTTCCTTAACTTTATCCTTAGTTCGTACTGTTAAATCACACGCTCCTAGCACCTTTAACCTATTTCCACCATAATTTGAAATTGTAATATTCGTTTTCTTTAGCAGTCTTCTTAGATTAAGAGTCTCAAAAATATATGCAGGGATTACATTAACGTGTGCACCAGTATCTATCTTAAAACTAACAGTTTTATGACAATCTAAAATTCTTAAAGTCTCTGACCAGTCTAGTTCAAGATTCTTACCTCTGCTTTCCAGTGACGCCAATACATAGTCGTTTGTACTCTCTGGCGCCATTTCCAGTACATTTATCATGTTATTTTGACACACTTTTGCAAAATGATTGTATTCCTTGCATTTATTACACTGTTTGCCCATTGCCAAACAGTTCGGTTTATTATGTCTATAACCACATCTCCCGCAATTCCGTTGTCTTCCTTGGAACTTATTTTCCGATCTTTGATATCCACGCCAATTGTTCTGTGTTCGATGGTTCTTTGTTTCTGCACGCGACCTATTTTCCTGATCACGTGATTCATTGAGACATTCTCTTGATTTTCCTTTTATCACGTTGACTTCTATATTCTTTGGTTGATTCGAGAAGAGTTTAATGTGACTCTCTGTCTGTTCGGTGGCTCTGCATATGTCGATTGCCTTTGTTAATGATAGCTCCGTTTCTCGCAGTAGACATTCCTTTACCTTCTGATCACGAATACCACTCACAATTCTATCTCTCAATAGTCGATCTCGCAAATTCCCAAACTCACAATTTATCGATAGCTTACGTAAGTCTGCTAAAAAATCGTCAAAGACTTCGCTCAGTCATTGCACACGAGTGTTGAACTTGTGACTCTCAACACTTTGGTTGCTTTTCGGAATAAAATACAACTCGAGTTTTTCTAGAATTACATTCGGTTGTTTTGCTTCTTCATCATTAAGTTCTAATGTTTCAAAAATTTCTAGTGCTTCTTCTCTCAAACAATGGAGCAAGATGGCAGCTTGAGTTTCATTGTTCTTCGTCGTGAGTTTGGTCGCCGTTGAATAAAGTAAGTAACTTTTCTTAAATTTCTTCCAATTCGCTCCTAAGTCACCTTCTACCAACATCGGTTTTGGAGGAGGAAGATTTTGAAACATGGACATGTCGAATCCAGTACGGGAGAATCTTTCGTCTTTCTCTAAACGTTTGTCGACTGTGCCATGTTATGTTTATTGTCTCAAAGTTACAACCAAAGTGAGCACTCAGGTACCATTCACGTGATGCATCAGCAACGATCTCCACCTGGCGGACTCACTAATATTTTACATTTTAACATTTCTAATACAATATACATTACAGTTGCACCTTCTTCCATTTCCAACAACATATCTTTGTGAAACAGGGTTTACCAGCTTGTTGGTTATCAAGTCTTAATACAGAAGTATACTTGTTGTGGAAGATGATCTTTGTTGTGCTCTTGCAAAGACTGCCCTGAGAATTTCTGATCTGGTGAGAAAGAAGCAATTTCAACCTTTGCACTGACATTGGCTTTTTAGGCATACTGTCACAATAGAAATAGATAAATAAATGAAACTCACGCCAAAATTGTATAGCTTCTTGATAAAAAGCACTGAGTTCAGCGTTAATACTGTATTAACGCTGAACTCAGTGCTTTTTATCAATTAGCTACTGTCACAAAATGTAGCAATGTAGTTTACTGTTGTTATATTAAGATTGTTACCCATGCTACTCCATTTCACAATATATAATTACATATTGTTTTTGTGATTAATCACTATGCTTTAATTATGTTCAATTTGTGACAATGAAAATACATCCTGCATCTATACTTACTATATAAAGAGACAACGTATTTTTCGTTTGTGACCACTAACCGTGAAAAGTACTGAACCAATCGTTATCAAATTTTAACTGTAGCATCTTTATGATCCCCGGAATGTTTACCACTAATCAAACCTGCAGATTTTTTATTAATTAAATAAAACTACAATGGATATCATCTAGGGTTAAGGCTTTTATGTCCAACAGATAGTGCTACGAGTATGACGCCCTAAGTTTGCTTTTCTGTGAGGATGAACTAAAGCAGATCATCTTCTATCTATCTATATAAATAAAAATGTAATGTTCGTTTGTTCCTACCAATTCCTTTGAAATTTTCACACAACGCTGCATTCGAATACGCACGTGTTTTTATATAATATACGTGTCGAAATTCCCCCCACTGGGGGGAGATGAACAGGATTAAGGCTTACCTTGAAGAACTTGGCTTCTATTATACTATTTTAGATGCGGGTTTTTGCGTTTTTGATTGCGTTTTAATAGAATACGCCAAGAGAATGTACACTAAGAAGAAATTTTTCGAAAAATTCCCCCCCCCACACGGGGGAAGTGTTATACATTTATATTAGATACATTTTGAGCCACAACAACGCGTGGCGGGGTCTGCTAGTATCACATATTTACATTAAGATTCATAACATTAACAAAATTACAGCAACAAAAATAATTTTATGGTTGGGGGTCACCACAACATGACAAACTGTATTAAAGGGTCGCTGTATTAGGAAGGTTGAGAACCACTGTTCTAAACCTTCTAATCTTAATTATTCTTCCTCTTTGGAAGTGAGAGTAACTTCCTAGAATTGTCAAACAATGAATGCGAGGTTTCCTGAAAGCACATGTGGGGAGAAAAAGAGACTGTTTAGTTGGTCCTTGTAGTGAGAGGACAAACAGGAGATTGGGAAGAGTTGTTGAGTACCCGAGAGATGGGTGGAGCCAATATGGAGGAAGAGAGACTCCAAACATTTTGGACCAATATTACAGTGTTGAAGTCGGCATCTGAACTTGACGAGTTTTGGGCTTGGATGGACAAATTGGACTAAAAATCTATAGAAATTGTCTTGGACTAAGAAAAGGTAAGCGGAAGTGTGAATTGTGCCCAAGGAAGTTTTCACATGGTCCCTCACAACATCAGAAAGACATTTATTCAACCTGGGATTTTATTCCATTCTGTCCACCATCTTTGATACTTCTTACCCCCTTTCTTCCAATTTCCTTTAGTGTAAATTAGTTTTAAGGATTAGTTATAAGGAGATTTTGGGTAATAAGTAATCTTGAGTTGTTTCTATGCATTGCAATATTTTGTAATTATCCAGCAAATGACTGTGTTTGGGTTGTTGCTGAATCATCTGTCCTAGAGTTTGCATTCATTGCCCATCCTGTACATGATTATACCACATAAAATATCAATAAATTGTGTTTTTAACATCTAATGCACATGTTTCTTTTTTTTTCTGGGTGTTTGCCTTAGTAAGCTAGCAAAATCCCTTTCATATCTCACACTATCTTCCATATTGAATACCATTCTATTTAAAAATGAGGATGACATTTTTAAAATATCAATGTAATGTATTGGCAACACTATTGCCTCAGAATATGGGAATATAATAAACAGCTAATGAAGAAACCCTTGTTCTTTGTCTGGTCATTGTAAAAGAAGTGCAATAAAGACAATTGTAAAGAATCATGAACTTGTTCTTTTCTTAGCAGTTAAGACATAATATTGGTGACAAGGATCAAATCTGACTTTTTTTCCTGTAAATTCTGTATTTCTGTAAGATTTCAGGTTATACATAAATTTTTGGGTGTATTGAAATATTCAACCCTAATATACTGGAAAGACATATGAAGAACACTTGGAGTTCTATCTACTAACAAATAATATCAATAACAAACAAAGAAACAAACATGATTCTTTTAACAGTAGTTGAATCATAGACTTACTGACTAATTAGGTTATTAGCTGCCCCAAAATTAGTGAATGATTTAAAATATGAAGAAATAATGGGATTGTTAAAAAATTACTTCAATCCTTAATCTAATGAAATAGTACAAAAAACTTTGTCTCTGGAAAAATGTTGTTCACTAGCATTACAGACTAGGGTATTAGACATTGCGCACAAGGGCCACCCAGGAATTATAGCCATGAAGCACTCAGGAGTAAAGTTTGGTGGGAAGAAATTGATAAAGATGTGGATAAGCGTGTTAAATCATATTCCTGCTATCAGCTGGTCCAAAAATCCATAAACCTGACACCTTTGTACAGAAATATAATGCCATGGGATACACTCGCTGTAGATCTAT